CTAAAAAGCCTCTCTGTAGCCATCACTGTGCAGCATAAAAAACCCTGGCTGACATCGAATGAGGCGGCTCGTACCGTGTCACTCGAAGTAGGCCCGCTGCCCAACTCATCGACACGGTGGTACCCTGGGCGTTGGGTGCTGAGATGACCACGTCTCACGTTGTCTAGGCAACTATACTGTCAAAACGTGTCACATCTGATCACAATTTCTGCCATGTCGAGGCCGACAGCCCTGAAGATCCTCATGGATGTGCTGTTGCTTGCCATCTCCTAGTGAATGAGGTGTGGGTACCGCTGTATGCTGCAGATGGCCTGCTGTCATTGAGGTCAGGGTCAAGATGCACATGGTCCGTTCATGGCATGCCTTACAGGTGACCAGGTGTTGTCGGCTACTACAGTGAAAGCTCATTAATTCGAACTTCAATAATTCAAACTTATGAATAATTCAAGCTGTAAGTTATGGTCCGGCCAAGCTCCATACAAGCATATGAATAAAAAGGCCTGTTAATTCAAAAGCGAGTAGGTGCCGCTGTGGATAATTCGAACTACGTGCTACCGCGCCGGCGGTTCGGCTATTCACTCAATAGGGCGGCTGCCGAGTTACGAAGCGGCGTTGACAGGGAGCGGAGAGAAAAACGGAGAAACTGGCACGGAAGCCAGAGCGGAGAAAATAATGCCACTTACTCTTCACCTTCTTCCCCCGCAATCTCTCTTTCTCGGCGGCTGCCTGCTTTCCGTCCCACGTAACCTCCAAGATTTGCTTTTTTTTTTTTTAAGCGCCAACCTCGGAGCCTTTGAAAATCCTGCGTAGTTGTCGCTATTAGATGACAGATGGCATGACCAGCACACAGCAAATCGGGTGCGTCGTAGCTTTGCCCAGCCTTCTCTGCATCTCTGTCTCGGGCGTGCGTCGTACACCTTGGTTGTTGGTGCTGGGAGTAGCTTCCGACTGTCGCGATTCTTTGTGTTGGTGTTAGGCCTAGGCTAACATTTGTTGCGGTAGCGCCGGTAGTAGCTTCCCGTCTGTCGCGATTCTGCTGCTCCGACTTGATGGCGTGTGCCCGCAGCAAATACCGTGCCAAAACACTTCCTTCCAGCAAACACGACAGCGGTACTGCAGCCCATAGACCAGGCTATAATTAGAAATTTAAAATCATTTTATCGGCATCACAAGTTTGAACGAATTATTTTGTGCAATAACTACCAAGTGACGCTCCTAAGTGCACTACACGTGCTTGTGCATGCTTGGGAGCAAGTGACAGCGCTTATGATAGCAAACCGCTTTCACAACTGTGGCTTGAGCACCGAAGCTCTGCAAGCTGACGAGCCACCAGTGCTCGAACACGGCATCACCGCTCCCATGGCGGACGTTTCGGAAGACGTCTGCTTTGCGGACTACATCGATGGGGACTCAAGTGCAGTGGTGTGTGGTGTTCTCACGAATGGCGATATAATATGTCAGGTGAGAAGTGCATAACCTGTCGCTGCCAGTGATGATGATGAGGAAAACGACGAAGCACAGTGCGGCCCTCTGCTGCGAAAGTCATGGCCGGATTGAATGCCGCCCGTTTTTTTTTTTTTTTTAAGTAGTGAAGAACGCGGAGAAGAGGTCTTCCGGCAAAATCGCTCGATAGAGCAAAAAGTTCTGGCTGTCACCTTCTAGGAAAGAAGGCAGACCGCGATCACAGATTTTTTCAAAATATAAATTTTTATGCCCTACTGACAGTGTACTATTGTTATTCGTCACTTTCGTTAGTTTGAACTTTCTTTATTTCGAACTGAGCCAGAATCCCCTTGCGGTTCGAATTAACGAACTTTTACTGTACGACCAATTGCCGAAGATTCAGGCATCTTTCCCTTGACGCCCGTGGTTCCACTTGGATTTACCATGCTGTTTTACATCATCCTCGAGGTGTCTAATGCTAAGGTTCCTATGATGTTTCCAAGGACAACATCATAATGTGAGTCACACAGGCAGTGACAACAAACTTCCCCTTTGAAAAGCGATGTATCCAGATACACCATCGCTTCTGGTAGGTAGTGTACCGTGCAGTCTAGGGACAAGACTGGACGATACAACCCAGTCAATTTTTCCCTTGGAAATAATGCCTCTCGCACTACGACCGTGTCGCAGCCAGTGTCGCGCGATACTGTAATTGGGCACTTATCCAAAAAGCCTTTCACAGCAGGGATAGTTTCGATTTTTACAGATAAAACGCCTTGGCTGTCCACAGTGTTCACAACAGAGATCTTTCGCCCATCTTCCAAAACAATGTGATCTGCATTCGTTGCAGATATCTCGTCGTTTCGCCTTACATATACAACGCAAAATGCTTCACATCTGTCCTATGCTTCACATCTGTCCTTTGTACCGGTGGAATACTAGCCACCGCTGTGACCGTGCACTGGGGAACATTCTTTTGTTAGGGACCAGCATTCAGCTGCGCGATGTCCCGTCTTGTCACGTAGGAAGCATCGACTAGCAGCTTTCCCAGATTTCCTCGCTGTCTCAGACATCCTCTCAAGCTCCAATGCTTTGGCTTCTTTGTGATCATGTTCGTTGTTTATGTTAGAAGGGTCTGCGCTTCCATAACGCTGTCAGCACTCTCACACATTGCTACTTAGTGTCTGACAGTCCCTCTCCTTCGAGAAAAATTTTAAGTGCCGGGGTACAGCTTTTCATGAACTGTTCACGTATTATTGATTCCCTCAAGCCAGAATAGCTTCTTTTTGTCTTGCTCATTTCGAGTCAATGGTGAAAATTACCGGCAAGTCGTGCAGCATACTGCAGGCCAGACTCATTGTCTTCGGGTTTAGCTTTGCAGAATTTCTCCGGATAGCCTTCTGCAGTTTACCGAAACTGCTGCCACAAGGCCACTCTTAACTAGTCGTAATCCAACACAGCTGTAGAATCTAACCGGCCTATCACAGTTAGGACCTCTCCAGTCATGCATAGGCTTAATGACATAGCCCATTTCACACGGGGCCATCCTTGGTACACAGCGACACGCTCAAACCGTAGTAGGTAGGTGTTGAGATCATCCTGTGCTTTACTTAAAGGGCCGTATCAGTTTACGAGGGCTACACACTTCCGGTGCACGTGTTAGATCCCCCTGGTTCGCTAGCCTTAGCAGACTCTCCTTTTTCGCTTCCCTGAACTCGAAGCTTCAGCTCCAAAATTTTCAGCTCTTGTTCCTGAAGTTGACATTGTCGCTCAGTGCTTTTTTTTTGCCTGTTCTCTTTCTCGTGCGCCTTCATCACGAGCTAGGGCGCAATCTTTCTCGACTCATTCTCGCAGCTCATTCTTCTCGTGCCCTAGCTCCCCACCTAATGCGAAAAATCCTTCCTTGTCCATGGCTCAGTCCCGAATCTGAGTAATGGCGGTATTATTAATAGGCCATCCTGGCAGGCTTGCCAGTTGTGATGGTTCGGGGTACTCAGTTAGGGACAACCAAGACAAAGGACAAGAAACATTCATCGACCTTGACACAACAATTACATACACTCTAACTGGCTAGACAATAGAAGTATCACCCAAGTCCTAAAACCTAAGCTCTCAAGCCTACACTCGATGAAAATCAGGGCGTGACGAAGTACATGTTCGTCGGACATAACAGTAAACCATGAGCGTGTCGATGACACACACACGAAGCAGCAGGATCTTGACGAGTCGTACAAGCCTGTACAATGATGTCGTGTAAGGGCACAGGTGCAGACGACGAATTGCTTGTTTCGCAACACGCAAGCTACGTTGCACCTGAGGTAGCATCGAAGACACGCTTTCAGCTCCTGGTAGCGAAGGACCCTGCTCATATGTGCCACCACAACAACAACCTCAGCACCAGTTGTGACAGAACGGTTCGGACGTGGCACCAAGGCCAAACTTCCGCCACTAGAATGAGATCTGCTGCTCCCCCTGGCTTCTAACTCGTTCACCACAGGAACAGCACTGCTAAGCCTGGTCCGGAACATTCCTTCATATCCGGGACGCACCAAGCTTGTCCCGGCTGGCCTGGTAACACCAGCTTCGGTCCCTTTTGGTCCTCTCAGGTCGAACTGATCTGTTCTCTTGCTAGCTGGCCGCATTCTCCAGCATGTTGATATTCTCCAGTTCACGCGCGCCACATTCCTCTGTCCACGCGCACCTTCACCGTCTTTGGTTCTTTCACTTTCGGTATCGGTTTCACTGTTCTTGCATTAACACTAAGCTAACACACCAGGCCAGGCATTTTCGCAGAGGATTCTGGCAGACAATGTACTCTACAGAGAGGACATACGGGAGAGCAACTTTCTGCCACACAGTAATTGTCGTCTCAAGTACCGTCTTAACACTACCATTGTGCACTTTGTATCTCGAGGTCACAAACGATAAATGTTCATCAGCATGACAATGCATTGTGAAGAGGAAAGTGTTTAACAAAATTAATAATAATATCTGAGGTTTTACATATCAAAACCACGATATTATTATAAAAATTGCTGTAGTGAAGGGCTCCGTATTTGACAATCTGGTGTTCTGTAACAAGCACTGACATCACACACTACGCTTCCATCACACTTTAACTCACTTGGCCTCCATCGAAACGCGACCACCTCGGCCTCAATTGAACCCACGACCTTCAGGTCAGTAGCCAAGCATCGTTAACTGCCACACCAACATGGTGGACACGTGTCAAGCACCAGGTTTAGACAAAGAAAAATATGTAAGCAAGCGAAATGGCAATCATTGTTGCAGAACAATGATGAATCCTCGAAGGATGCAGACTGTTTTCTTAATAATGATAACCTGTCGGGATTAAACGTTCCAAGACCATTATATTTATGAGAACGCGACTGTTTGTTTAGTGTGCAGGCTTCAATGCCCCGCACTTACAAAAATTACACTAAAAAAATTTAAAAAAAATGCCTCGCCTTGTCAACATCACTGTTTCATTATGGCTGCCATGTTACCATATTCACAGCATAAAGAAAAAAATGTGAGGAAAAAGACAAGGCGCTTACCAACAGCACTTCCAGTTACCCAGGTACTCTTTCGAGGGGTGGAAAGCGACAGTACGTGTGGTAGCTGATGTTGCACTCGTCGTAAAGCAGAAGCTGGCTCTTGTCATGCAGCTGGCCACAGCCTTCACATGCTGTGTGATCCAGGTAGCACCATCCCTTCTTCAAGATAATCTTTGTCACCTGGCATGAAATCGCAGGCTTAGGCAAAATGCACATGCTCATTCAGATAGAGAAAGCTAAAGAAATACAGAACAAAGATTGGAAAATCTGATTAACCCATCGAAACATTACTTGGAAGAAGCCACTGTTTCTATAAACAGAGTTTATTTTATATATTTTTAAGCAGTTGTCTGTATTTTTGGTAGATTGTCAACGCGCAGTGGCCGCACGCGAGCAAGAGCCGTGACGTCACTTTCTCCAAGATGCATGCAGAGCGCACGTGTTCCTGTTCTCTCCTCTTTTCCTCCACCTCTCCTTTCACTCCACTCTGTACCTTTCACAAACGCACTGATGCTTCACCCAAGCCAGAAGCATTGCCTATCTGCCATAGTGCTTCTGAGAATCAGTGGGAGTCGAGCAGGTTGAAAGACGGGGGCGACAGCTGGCATTGCTGGGATGCCTGTTTCGGGCGAGTCACCGGACATCTCCTCTAGTTCAGGGTGCGGTCACTAAACGTGACGGTTTGTGAACAACTATTTCAAATTCATTACTTTCCCCTAATGCTGCTTGAAACGAAAGTTGTACCTGTCGATTTCGACACAATTTTGTTTTAGGCCATGTTTTGCAGTACATTTCAACATGAAAGCATTATCTGGCAAGGTTTGTGAAAGCACACATTCATCTGGTGCACACAAAAGCCGCATGCAAAAAAGCATGTGACCTCTCCCACCGGAACTGATGCCAGCTAGTACTCCAGCTGCTGTGGAAACTATTCACAGCCGCAGAGAGCAGCAGAGAAAAATCTGCGCAGCAGATGAAAAACTCCTAAGAGAGGATGCATGCCCTAGCGCAGCCCGGTCAATTGGGCATTTTCTGAAGTTGAAAGAAGAGGAGAGATTGAGAAAAATAGTCTTTTTTCACGCAAAGGTACATTATTGTCACCATCACTTTGCTCATACTAAATCATCGACATAAACACAATATGGCTTCTGCATTGCCTTTATTATTAATAGAAAAACTAGCAGTACCCCTTCAGTACTTCACGAACCTAGCAAAAATAAGTGCTCTCATGTTCCTATCTCATAATTATATGCCTATGGATACTCTGCAACTTTTAAAGGCGAAGCATTTCTTAGCGAACTTCAGCGACTTTGAGCGTATCTATCTATCTAGCCGCTTAGATTTGGGTGCTCTCGTGGTCACCCCCCATTAACCTTAACTTGGCGTGAACCAAAATTAGCATGGGAGGGTAACATGGTTTGACGAACGTGATGCGCTGATCAAGACATGAATGATGTCACGATCCCGTCGCGTACGTCGTCAAACACTTTCAGCCAGACAGTGGCACATACTCACGGGCGGGTATGTGCCACTGGTAAGCGGGTATGTGCCACAGGTGATGGACATTATTACCCAGGAATGACAAGAACACACATGGGCATCAGAAGTGTGGCAGCTTGGGCTAGTTGGTATGGCATGACGATAGTTATAGCGCGAGAACAAAACGACGACACAGAGACAAGAAGGACACGAAAGACACGAGCGCTAACTTCCAACTGAGTTTATTGCGCACAGCACGAAAATATATAGAGGAGACAGTAACCATGTGATAAAAACCATATGGCACAAAGAGCAGAACATGAGTAAGAGAAAAACCAAGACAAAAAACAAAAGCACAGAAAAACGGCAAAGAAAAATTTATGAAGAAAGCGAAACAGAAAAGTAAAGATAATGAAACTACTTGCGCGCACCGAAACCTTCGAAGAACCTGAGTTCCTTCTCGGACAGAGCCACTGAGGGCTTGCTAATACAAGGCACCTGTTCGCGTGCCATCTGCGCGGCCTCGACAATGACTCGGGTGCGCTCATCTCTGTGCTTGTACAGCGTCGCTGTGTCCTTGAAAAGGGGCGCACAATTGCACTCAGTGCAATGCTGAGCAAGAAAACCATCTTTCCCGTTTCTAACATTGTTAGCGTGTTCTCTCAGCCGATCGTTCAGACACCTTCCGGTCGTTCCGACATAACAAGCACCGCATGAAAGGGGGGTCCTATAGACAACTTCCCGGGAGCAGGCCGCATACCTGTTTCTATGTTGAACTCTGCATTCTATTGATGACTGCGTTTTCAGGGGGTTTGTAGATTTGGTGAGGCTGATTAATTTGAATGGTGCCGAGAACAGGACACGAACTCCAACACGTTTTCCGATTTTCTTGAGCCTGTGTGATATCTGGTGTTTGTATGGAATCACGGCTATTCTTTCACGTTCTGTAACCGTGTTGCTCGGATTCTGTTGGTGCCTCTGCTCTGCCTTTATTTATATTATCTTTACTTTTCTGTTTCGTTTTCTTATAAATTTTTCTTTGCCATTTTTTTGTGCCTTTGTTTTTTGTCTTTGTTTTTCTCTTACTCATGTTCTGCTCTTTGTGCCATATGGTTTTTATCACATGGTTACTGTCTGCTCTATATATTTTCGTGCTCTGCGCAATAAACTCTGTTGAAAGTTAGGGCTCGCGTCTTTCGTGTCCTTCTTGTCTCTGTGTCTCGTCTTTGTTCTCGCGCTATAACTATCGTCACACATGGGCAATTTTAACGAGTGAGCGTTAAGCAATACCAGACATCGGTAGCGTCGACCCAACGAAGGCATAGAATAAATGTCAGTGTTAAGAAGAGCCGGGCATAAGCAGCGTTGACCACCCAACAAATCCAAATAATAAATTTCAGGGTCCCAGCAGGAATCAAGCCAAGCATTCTGCATGGTATTCAAGCATTCTACCAAAGAGCTACGCCAGGTCTCGTAACTACTTTTCAAATAGACGATATTCGTGAAACGTCAACAATGGTTGCAGTGTTGCCTACCCAATTTTATAAACATTACATATGTACTCCTTTCATGCAGCCGTCACGTCGGGTTAAGGTCAGTCGTGGTGAGGTGCCATGCGCTGAAATTGATTTATGTAGCAGTGTCAAGGGCCAGCGTCTTCGCGAGCATCAGCGCTTCATATAGCAGTTTCTGGTGTCGCTAAAACACATTTCCAGCTGACATCATTGTGCAAGTGGAAGACTGGTTATATAAACATCTCCAACTCTTCAACATGGTATGTCTCTGCGTGCAACATCTGTACACATATTTAGCGTCATGTCATCACGTGTAGCTCAATAGAAAAAAATGCTACCACGGCCCCCTTCCCTCCTGTGTTCTTCGCATAAAGTTGATTCCCATATTCGTGGTATCTGCCGAATTTTCTTTTTGCTGTACTTTTGCTTGGAAGTCATAAAAAATTGTTTGATAAAAAGTTTAACTTCACTTCACAATCAAAGTTTTGTTAGCACAGCTTTACTAACAACCAAGCTCATTCCTCCACAAGACTTTCTGTGACTAAATGGCATCTGTACAGTGTCAGACAGTTTCACAAGACTGTCTGGCATTATCGTGGAAGAAAATTATTTATTTTCCACCACACAACAGGGATATCTACACACAGCATGTCCAAGTAGCACTGCGCATGCAAATCTCCACACCCTGTTTACACTCTCTCGACACAGCTTCTTGAGTTCTGTCACATACCCTAAGGTTAGCACAGCAGCCAAACTATGCATGCATAAAATCTAAAACTCCCTAACAAGCCAGTAATCTAGACTTCCAATTTACCAAAAACCAGTACTTAAGGCTAGTACATGCCTTGTGTTCATCCTGAACATCATTTAGAAAAGCATTCACACTTTCTTTGCAAGAAGCTATAAACAACACGAGGAAACAAACAAATGAAGGCGTAGTCACTCACCTTGACGTTGACACAGTAAGGATTGTAGCACCGCCCACATTGGGCCATGCGATGAGCCTGCCTTCTTCGGCCCTTCCAAAGCTGCCACACTTGGCGCACAGGTCCTGGGTGCACGCGTTTTGTTTCTTACTACTACGAATGAAAAAGGGAGCCTGACACCCCCCAAAAGCTGGAAAAATTTCATTTGCTTTTATAAAATGGTCTATACGGAGCATTTGTAGAAGTGTGTGCTAGGCTAGCAGGCTTTCAACACTGGGCACTAATTCTTTCTTGGTGAACAACGCAAAACAAACCAAACACGAGAAGAGAAAAAGAAGACGAAGGCAGCACAATTTTTCATTCTTTCTTCTTCACGTTTAGTTTAATTCATAGTAATTTGCCACAAGAAAACAATTGTCAATGGTCTTGGCATGCCATTATTATAAAAGGCACGCCAATATAAGCGATTCATACGCAATTGAGAAAATGACTGCATGCATGCCATTGTACAGCATGCTACTCTTTATAGACTTACTTGTCATATTGCTGATGAGTACAGTAGTCCCAGTTTAAGAAGTCTACTTTACTATATGAGCTGCTCCTCTCTCTCTATTTTTTGTTTTTTTTTTTTGCTACTAGTGCATGGCTAATGCGCAAAAAAAAAAAAAAAAACGGAGGGACAGGGTTACACAGGCTAAGCAAAAAGCTGCTTTCTAATATACAAATGCGTACCTTATGCCACTGGTGGCTGCTGCTGGAAAGTCGCAACGGGGCCTCGATGAGGGCACCGACACCCCTGCAGCTCTTGCACGTCAGCTAGATTACCAGCCTGGTGCACGGCAGCTACTTGATGACGCCTCGCCTCATCAGCGAGCTGCTGCTTTGCCTCGCCCTGCCACCTGGTGTTGTCCGCAAGCATCTCCAATGCTGCGGCCTGCCTAACGCCAGCGTCACGCATCTGTTCACGGAGGTGGAAACCAAGAAATGTGTTGCCATTGTCATCCATGAACTACTCACTAGAAATTCTTGCTAGAAGCTTGCGTTTGTGAAGAGTTTCAGGTGTGCATAACAATTTCCTCGCTGTTGAAAATACACTGGCACAATGGCATCCGTAAACGGTGCTGGTTTACCGCACAACCAATGTGCAAGGTTTGGGCATATCAATAAGGTGCCTGAATTCATTCTTGCTCATCTCATCAAGGGCATCTTGCAACTCCAACCATCTCTGCACGAGACAAAACCAAACAGCCCTTTTCAGGACTACACAGTCGTTTGCCCGGCTTTATGAGATTACCTCCTTCCGAAACCCTCAAAATGCAATATGCAAAATATGCCGCAAACATGTGTAACAAAAGTGCAAAATGTGCATGATGGCTATGTTAAGTATAGAGCATTTTTTCCAGTGTATTTAAAATAAGCACATTTTCAATTATGCTTCAGAATCATATGACAACACGGAACCATCACGAGAGTTTAACACATTCTTCCGATTCAAACTTACTGTTTTACCATAACTGCAGTACAAGACAAGTGCTTATTCTATCTGAAAGTTATGCACACATTTCGTTCACATAGAACTGTTTTCAACATTTATATTTCTTGTGTATACCGTTGAGGCCGCATGTTACACTTTGTCTAACGTAACTGCACACATGAGCATCACCTGTGAGCATGCAATATCATCTACTGTTAATGAAGTTGGTATCCACAAACCGTGTCGGTCTGCTGCCACTGGTCAAGGTACATTGCCTGCTGTTCTACGATGCGAGGCAGCATGCTGGGGCCATTCGCTGACAGATGCCACTGCTGTCGTTGGTGCTGGGGTACTGAAAACAAAATGAATCTTTTTTACTCCGCAGCACACTTACGTAAGAAGGATTCGAAACTCTGACACGGTAACATAAAAAGATTATTTTATTAAACTACTAACACTGTTGATAAACAAAAAAAAAACACTGTTCCAGCTTAATGAGCTGGCATCGCATTAGCTGTACCAGCTGCAGGCATCCAATCATAAAAAAAAACTTCATCACATTCTTGTTCTCAGCAACGACAACAGTGCAGCAACTGAGAGCCGCAAACAATCGTAGGGATTGTTGTGGTGAAAGTGCAGTTATGATAGAATCACCATAGTAATGTTTTTTGTGTGTGTGCTTTTTTGACACATGTTGCGATTGCGGCATGCTGTCTATGCCACTCCAACTTAAGAGAGAGAAGGGAGGCAGGCAAATCCACTTGGCTACACACCTCAGTCGACTACAGGGTCTCAGAAATGGTTTGGAACACTTGGCATTCTCAAATGAGTTTCAAAATAAAGTTTGTGGCAGTTCTTTCGTCATCGCCACAAATACCACTGCCTCAAACACTGTTCTCGACGGCGCAACGTGTTAGCACCTTAACCACAGTGGCAGCCGAGTGATGCACCACACATTGTCGATAGAAGCAATCGAGCACACTGGTTGGCAGCACAGAATAGTGAAGTGGGTTTCAATGTATAGTTTGTGGCAGTGCTTTCATTATCACTGCTAATGCAACTGCTTCGGACACTGTTCTCGATGGCACATTGTGTTAGCACCTCAACCACAGCAGCAGCCGAGTGATGCAACGCACATTATGGATAGAAGCAAACAAGCGCACTGGTTGGCAGGACAGAAAAGTGATAGTCCAAAGCAATGCTTACCGCTTCTGACAGCCAGACCACTGGGCATCATGCACTGTCTACCTTCGAGGTCACAGTCGATTGCAGAATGCGGCTGTGGTAGTTGAAGAGCTGACTGCCACCGGCACTCCTGTAGAGCACGAATGACATGTGTAAGTTGACCCATGACCCACCGAGACACAATTCTGCTCGCACTCACGTCTGCTCTTCTTCAAGCCGCTTAGCCATTCCTGCTCAGAGTTGTGGGGCTCCTTCCACCAGAAAGCCTTCCACCGCGCAAGAGAACTATGCGCAGGGATTGCCTGGTGTTGGAATGCTGCAAACCGACTCCGGAGCTCCTTTCGATTGCTCTTTCTAAACGAGGTGTCCAAAGGGCATGTGGGCATCGCCCGCTAGGGGTGCTCCTCCATAAAAGGCAGGAGGAGCTCCCTCTGACACGCAGACACCCGAGGACCAGGCTCAGTCTGCCTCAACATCTTGAAGACCTGCAACATACACGTTTTTTTTTTTTTTTTTGCATGGCAGACACCACCTACTGACCACATCAAGAAACCTAACATTATTAAACATGATTACTCAAAGCTATTGCTGTTAGAAAAAATGTTTTAGTTTGAAATGAAAGCAAGACTTTTTTCGTAGAAAAATTGCATTTTTTAGAAGAAGAAAAACACTTCATGTTGAATATACATTCTTCGAGCAGACGGAAATAGCAGCAAGTCTACTTCCGGAAAGTTCGCTGCTTCACGATTGGCTGTGCTCTTTTTCTCGTGCGTTCTCGATGAGAGAGAGCTGCGAACCACCCCTTTATGTGATGCGATCTCCGCAGAATGGGTGTGGAATGAGCAGAGATTTCCACTCACCCACTATGCCTGTAGTAATAGTTTTAACTTATAATTTGTGAACTAGAGCCGTGCAGCAGTTCAAAATTGCATAACATTAATCATGTGCTGAGCATGTCACCTTTAAAATTCTAGTGTTATGTGCTTCATCTGGCATACTTCCCCACGGAAATATTTTAATCGGCTATAAGTATGAGAGGCTGACCACATCCATCGCAGTTCTCTCAACGTGAAAAACATCAGCATTCCGCTGGAAAAAGCAACAATACCTGATGAATGTACGCAGTGCACAACTACATAATGTACACTACTTACCAGAACGTCTGGAAGAAACAAGCGCAGTACTGCATCCCTGTTCAGACATCCAGCTGGAAACCCCATGGCCGGCATAAGGCCCAGGTTTCGAGTATAGGTGCCTTAATTGTGTCCCAGGCGTGGTACAATCGTGACACAAAGTATAACGGTTGCATCACACCTGGGACGCAATGATTTTGAGACTGTGGCGTCACTTGGCGAGATAACAGAAAACGATTTTCAGCCGACTTTGAGAATACACTGTGAATTCCAGGCTTTGAACTGCGGTATATTCAGCTCGCGGTTTCTCAGGAGCCTCAAATACCGACCGGCAGCCTTTTCTGACCATGCTCAAAAAGTGTTGCAGGGATAAAGAGCGTCTGCTAGATAAGGAATCCACCATGGTTCCACGGCCATGAGACCCCTGTCGGCAGATTTAGGGGTTCCATTTTTTATATTGAGGCAAGCTCCTTTGGTATTTCACAATAGATGCAAAGAACCTGCTTCGTTGTCACATATCTAGTGATCTAAAAGACAAGGCAGGCACCACTTTGTCAGTATCAGCTCCCAGTATTACACAAGCTCACACCTCAAACAGCTCTTTGCACGCCAAAGCTCGGAACAAAGGTGCTTTTTTTATTGACGACCTGTACCTAGGGCTGTACAAATAGTGAATTCTAGAACTGACTCATATACAAATGAAATATTACTGTCAAGGGCTGAAAAGATAGCTTGGAATGACGACAGTGAAGGGCTGAGCAGAACGCGCGCGGACTGCAGGAGCGTTGTACGCATTTGTTTGGAAATATAGCTAGTGCATATACTTTCTTCCCCGCAACAGTTTTGACAGCAAATCGAATACAAGTACAAATTGAATGCTGTTCGAATAGTAAGCCAACAATTTTAAAAACATTTCTATGTTTTAACAATATTCAATTTGGAGCAAACAGTCACAACACACTAAAAAAGAAACATTATGAATCACTTTACCCAGCGAAAAATATCACTGTTAAGTAAACTTAGGTAAGCCATATAAGCAGCACCAACCTATGAGATAATTTTTAACTGTATGCTGAAATACTGCAGTTACAAATTCAAGGAGGGTACTTCGTCGCCACCTTTTAAATAAGACTGAGGCATAAACATGAATGCCAGGCCTGCGCGGAAGGGGCAGCACAGTCACAGCAAAAGCTAGAAGAGCGGCCTTTCAGAGCCTTTTCTAAACACTCATTGGGTAACTGCTCCAAGCACACTTGCTTGATGCCCACTACAACATTATTAATAAAAATTTTAGGGTAGAATGCCGGCATTTGCTATGCTGTTTTTTTTGTCATTCTTCTGAGAAGCGTGGTATGCTCTAAACTATTGCGAGGAATTTTCGGCCAATTGTTCACGCAGTGGCTGACGACAATAAAGAATTATGCCTGAAGTGAGTATGCTCCACAGTTATTAGCCGAACAAGAACAAGCTTTTGTAATTGGGTTCGAGCATTGGACGACCCACTCATAACGCTATTTACATTGTGTGACGACTGCTTCTTCTTTCGCTGTTTTAAAACGCTTTATAAGTCATGTTACCGCGATTGCTTTCTCGACATCAACCTGCCTCAGAAAAGCTTGCCAACGAGTCCTAAGCAGCGGCGTGCCTCAGTAGTAGAATACTGGGCTGGCACTGTTATGCCTAAGAGTTCGCAAACGAACGTCATTGCTTCTGCTAAGGCAACCAGTGTCAAGGCGAGCGAGCGAGCCCGCCTGACCGCATCATCTCAATGACATCATCTAGCCCGGCGGCGCCGGTGTGTCTTACGCAACGAATGGCGAGCTCCCTCAACCCACGGGCCCAATAGCAGCCCGATATTGCAATCAACGCCATCCAGTCTGGTGAGTCTTACGCAACGCGTGGCAATATCAATCATCCATGGGTGCAACCCAGCAGCGTTTCCTGATTGGAGGATTATGACGCCACCACCAGCGGCAGTTCTGATTGGACGCTGCTGACATGAGAGTTCACCCGGGGCCTCTAAATAACCAAGCAGTGCGATGCGAAGCAGCCAACCTATGCGTCGGAGAAAAGACGACAGCGTTAGAGCGTCCGAAGATACCTCGGCTCATCGAGCCCTTGCACTGTTGGCCCAACCGGCAACCTTGGCAGTGGCGAGCTTTGTAGTGGCGCCTTAGTGACTATGTTGGTGTTGCGCCTCGTAGCAGTGAATGGCAGCTTCGGGATCCGCCGGCGTCAGCAACCTCGATGCGGTGAGTGCCTGGTGTTTTCTTCTCAGTTCACTAGACTACTCTAGCACAGGTTATAGTAGTTGAAAGAAGGGCTGTGTGCAGCATTAGAGTGAGCTTTCATCGTTTCAAGCCAAGTCGGAGCGCTTCGAAACTGAAGTTAATGTGGAGGGTGTAAACACGGTAGTGTTAAAAACGGCTTGCGCGTCGTGCTAGTCGACTTATAGCCGGTGCGGCAAGTAGATTCTTAACAGGGGCAAACAGCAAGAGGCTAGTGTGAACGATGGAGAATCTTAAAGTGAAGGAACTCATCGAAATTTGTGGGGAACTTGGCTTTACTTTAAACCGTGCAAAACGAAAGCAAACCATCCTTGAGATCATGAAGGATGCAGGAGTGACGGCTGAAGAAATCGATGAAGGCTGGGCTGATATCAAAGCAGGCCATGAGGAGGCTGAAAGACGAGAAGTTAGCAAATGCGAAGAAGCTGAAAAGCGGGAAGTTTGCAAAGGCGAAAAAGCTGAAAGGCAAGAAGTTCGCTAAAGCGAAGAAGCAGAAAGGAGAGAACGCCGTCACAGAGGCCGAAAGACAGAAGCGCCTCGAGTTGAAAGGAATAGAATTGGCAATCCTACAGTGTTTGCAGGCGCCTAGCGTAGCTTCTGTGATGGTTCAGGTCAGCGGTCAGAGAATTCGGGACCAACTGCCATAGTTCGTAGTAGGCGAGGACATGCCGAAGTTTCTCGTCAAGTACGAACACCTCTGTGAGCGAAACGCCTTGGAGCGATCTCTTTGGGCGCAGAACCTGTTAGCTCTTCTTCCCAGCAAAGTGTCCGATGACGTGATAATGTGCTTGTCGAGAGAAGTGTTTGAGAGCTATGACGAGGTTAAGGAAGTGCTCTTGAGACGTTATAAGTTGGCACCCGAGGCATTCCGGCAAAGGTTCCGGTACACAAAAAAGCGCAATGAGTCACACGTTGACTTACCGTTTTGTCTTAAAGCCGATTTAATTGAATGGCTCAAGGGCAACAATGTTTATGTCGATCTCGATAAGTTGGTAGAATTCACTGCATTGGAGCAATTTTACCGCTACATCGAGGATGACATCAAGCTATGGCTGCAAGACAAGCTTGGCGAAGTACAGCTAAACAAAGCAGCAGAGTTAGCTCAGGAGCATTATACTCGCCGAAAGTTTCATAGCAGGGCAGTGTGCGTTGAAAGAAGTGAAATAAAAAAGCTTTTCAAAGAAACCTGATGAATAGAAACCAACTCAGCACCGTAATTACAGAAAGGACCTGTCTCTTATGAAGGACACTGCAGAGGAAGGGCAAACGAAAGTGCAGAAAACGAGCATGGTTCCCAAACAGCACACTGACACCACATGGGTTTGAGTCACAGAAGCCGCTAATCTGCTATAACTTCAAAAAGGAAGGGCACGTCGCGGCAAACTGTAAATAAAAGTTTGCTTTCGTAACAATCCGAGAATCGAAAAAGAACATGCGGTTGTTAGAGCCGTATCTCCAGGAAATTAGTTAGTGTCAATCGGAAAACATGTCGAGCACTTCGAGACAGCGGCAACCATGGACATTGTCCATCTTTCGTATGTTTCTTTGGACAACCTTACAGGAGAGTGCGCAAGGATCAGACAATCGCAGAAGAGCAGAGTGCTTGCTTACCAATTGCTACCGTTGTCATTGAAGGCCCGTTCGGTAAGTTTCGCATAAAAGTGGCTGGGGCTGCCGTACTTCTAGATCGTTTTCTTTATTTTTTTTCCGAATAACTCTTAGCAGCTTCTCAAAGAGCTGGGTAAATCCTTCTTTTCTAACTCCGGATGTAGTCCTCACACAATCGCAAGTGTGGAAGCTTTCGCAGCAACTTTATCTTGTGCAATGTAGTGAAACACCGCCTGCACAAGTGGCCGAGATGCATGACCTTGGGGGCGAATCGTCAAGCAAATCTTGAACAGAAAATTTACCCCGGGTGAGTCACTTTTGTAGCCCATCGCTGAAGTGAGTGCCACCGTCTCTGTCGGCAGAGGAGACAACATGGCCCCATTGAATGAGAGTGAAGGCACAGCTCTCTCGCCTGCAGCTGAAAGTGAGAGGGTGCTGTCGAGGGCTGATCAAGAAAC